TCTATTTCATGTTTATTCCTCGTCTATCTTTTGAAGCACTTGATAAAAATGAATTGCACTTATATTAATCGATTCATTAAGAGAGTACGAATAAAATTATATATAAAACATAGTTGTGCTCACAAATTTAAAAATTAATTTTTTTTTTTGGAGAGTGTACCTATTTTTTAGATTTGCCCATATGCGCTCGATTTCGGTGTACACGTCCAAAGCCGTCTATCTTTTGAAGCACTTGATAAAAATGAATTGCACTTATATTAATCGATTCATTAAGAGAGTACGAATAAAATTATATATAAAACATAGTTGTGCTCACAAATTTAAAAATTAATTTTTTTTTTTGGAGAGTGTACCTATTTTTTAGATTTGCCCATATGCGCTCGATTTCGGTGTACACGTCCAAAGCCGTCTATCTTTTGAAGCACTTGATAAAAATGAATTGCACTTATATTAATCGATTCATTAAGAGAGTACGAATAAAATTATATATAAAACATAGTTGTGCTCACAAATTTAAAAATTAATTTTTTTTTTTGGAGAGTGTACCTATTTTTTAGATTTGCCCATATGCGCTCGATTTCGGTGTACACGTCCAAAGCCGGCTACGCCAGCTCAGTAGTGCTAGCATCGTCAGCAGCGTTTGAAACTTCGTCATAGATTTTGACGTATTTTTCCCAATACTGGCAAAGCAGTGTTCGGCGACCGACTAAAAACCCTTTGCTTGGTTTTGGCGGTTTTGCGTAAATTTGACATAAAATTTGTTGTTTGATAAGAGTCTTCATCTTTGCAGAAAACGGCGTGGTTAGCTAACCTTAAAAAGAACTAGTCGTTTCTTGACACTTGATATATATACGTGGACGGCGAGTAAGTCCAGTTAACGTTCCCGAATATTCTTACGTATACAGCAGGTATGTAGCAGGTATACATATAAGCAGCTTTCGGTGTAGACATGTATGTATATGGTAGCTTTCGTGCAAACAGTAAAGAGTGCCGATTGCAATTTGCAAATTTGAACCAGCGGAGTTGTAAGCTTTACTTTTTGCAATTAATTCGCACGCAATTAATAGTCCGTGTGGTCTGTTGTATGCGAAATCAACAAAAGCGAAGCGCCCACAAGAAACTCCCCGCAAGGGATGCCAATGTTCACGAGCGAAAGTAAGCAAACGGCAGTTGCAATTCACTTTATTGATAATTGTACTTAACAGTTTTTGTACGCTTTATTTGTATAATGACTCGATACTTGAAAAATATAGCTTTATCGTAGGGCCGAGTTCCTGTGCGCGCTAGTTGCTGACATGTAGGTGAGTAAGAAAACACAAACATGCACGAAAGAAAATACACAAAGGAAAAACGTCAAACTAGTTGGCTGCCAATAGGATTGCCATATGCGATGATTTCATGAACACCGTCTTTCCCACGTCCTCCGCCATATTAATTTGACAAATTCTTAAATTCCTGCGAAATGCCGGGTTCGACATATTTACGCGCATACATACGAACCTATAAATATGCGTTTACAGTAGGCTGCTCCTAACTTGAACATCTATAACTCTATTCTGCTTGTTACAAAATATGTTGTAACCGGCATATTTTGTTACCAAACATTGTTACCACTTCTTGTAACTGCAATTCTAGGTACCTCGGTAGCGTTTCAATTTATTCAGCATTACAGCTATGAAGTTTTGTAGAAATTCTGTGTTGCATATTTCATGGGGCAATATTTTGTTACCTGCTTATGAGATGGTAACAAATTTTACCAGTTACAAGAATGTGCAGAATGCGAAAAGGGCTTAAAGGAAGAGAGGAGCTTTATTTTCCGGTAAAAAAAGATTACCAACGCAGAATAGGTTAATGTACGATTTTGTGTTTGAAGCTTTTCATGATAGTAAACAATATTTGTGTTACCAACGCAGAATAGGTTAATGTACGATTTTGTGTTTGAAGCTTTTCATGATAGTAAACAATATTTGTGTTACCAACGCAGAATATGTATGTATGTATACACTCACTTATACATGCTTCATTTTTTGAATTCTATACATTTTGCTCGAATTATCTAGATTCAACTGTAAACAAATCGTAAGCGCTCGGTTTAAAAAAAAATTAAAAATTATGACCGAAGCTGCGGCCGGATTCCAGCTTTCGCTATCGCTAAAACTCCATCGCCAAAAAATACTAAATGGATTTTAGCAATTTTGGGAGATTTTTGCGATTCGCGCTTAAAAAATCATCTCTAAAAAGTTTCATTTTTGGTTCATTTTTTTGGTGGGTTTTAGCGATGAACAAAATGAACCCGGATAAAGTGAGTGAACAGTTTTTGACAGCTCATCAGCTAAAATGGCGATTCCAGCGTCTTTTCCATTGCTACAAATCTCCATTGTTGGCTTAAAATTCTGCGAATTTGGCGACTAGAAAAAGTTGGTGCTAAAAAAATAACGCGACAAAAAAGGTAATGCTTATATTGTTTTTTGTTAAAAATACTCTTTTATATTAAAGAAATTGTTTAATTAATAGCAAAATATGGAAAACCGCAATAGCAAAAGAGTGACGAAGGATCAAAAATATATGCTCGTTCAATATTTGGAGGATCATAGAGAATTCGCTCACGACAGGTATGCAAAACATCTTCCCGTAAATGATTTTGTTTAAGTTTTTCCCCCCATTGAAGTTGTGGCACCGCCATCTAATCTTCCAACGCTTACTCTACCCTCAATTAGTAACTCAGTTACTCAACCCCGTCCGCCGGTAATCGAGTCTGATACTAGGAGACTGGTTGTAGTTCCCCCAAAGAAGTCTATATTTGTATGTAGATTTTCGAGGGATACTTCCGAGGACGATATAAAGTTTTACATCTCGTCCAAAGTTAAAACTGTCAACTTAAGTATCAGAAAATTTAATTTTAAATATGAAAGAAATGTTTCTTCATTTAAAACAGACGTAAATTTAGAAAATTTTGACATGCTGCTTAGTAGTTCTTTTTGGCCCTCCGGAGCTTTCGTTCGTGAATTTGAGTATAGGCCCAACAAAAATAATAATTTAGCAAATATTCCCCGTCAGAATACAGAACCAAAAAACTGATTACTAAATCTGCTTTAAGTATTTATTATCAAAACGTAA